TATATATATATACCAATCAAATTGAAATTTGAATTGAATTAGAAGCTTCTCAGTTCTACCGAGACCACCATTACTAAATTAAGACACAAGATGAATATACCCTAGAGGCAAGTTTCAGATCCTGAAGTTAATGAAATTCTTTTATCTTGTAATAGCTAAAAATGGCATGTAAGACAGACAAGCATATGATAATATGTACACATAATCTTGGAGATACAATCCCTCATTAAACAATTAGTAAAATCAACATATAAGATAGGAAAAGGAATCCGTATAGAACCATTTATTTACAAGCATGATACTTCGCGTAGGTGCATTCTAACATAAGTAACAGTGAATAACTAAAAAGAAGTAAAGAGGAAAAAGCTAAATAATGACTCTTACCTTCCACACCAGAATGAAAGATACCAAAGCCAGCCCAATAGACATAGTTATTCATAGGGGTCAAGTCATACACGTTGAGACACACTGGCGTCTCACCAGGACCAAAACGATCTGACTTCACTCTGGGGAGCAAACAAAAATTTGCTGATGATTTGGTCTTCAAACGGAGGGGCACTACTGATTTCCATCCTTTCTTTGATTTTAATGTCATTTTCCTTTTACTATGCCAAAAAAATCATTCAAAACCCACTTGCGTCTTGTATATCTGCATGAAAAGAAAAGCATAAGGCTTCATATTAAAGTTTAAGAAGTCAGTCTACAGAACAACTAAGAAAAGAAACAATGCAAAGACAAACTTAATAATATACCAATGAAAGAATGATAGGTCAAGAACAGAATGACGCAAAGATCACAAATCATAGCTGTTTGATTTCGTACAATACAATTCCAAATATTTAAGTGAAAGTTGCACCAATGTTTCCATGTATCAACCAATGACATCAGTTACATATGAGAACTACAGAACAAAGGGGTAAAGCACTAGAGCATGCTTTCCATCTAAAAGAACATATCATTCTGCTTGAAATTTGAAGCATTATACGTTAATACAATTTGGATCCACTAACGACAACGAGACATATCTAGTTTTGTCACCTCCAAAACTCGAACAGACATTCAGAACTTTGGATTATACACAAGTTTGTCTCAAATTTCTAAGTTAGAACTAGTAACCACATGATTGCTAAGCTCTGTCATGTATGCTAGCGCTGTCAATCCAAAAACAAGACCAACCCATTGCACTTGAGGTAGCACATTACAACCCTTGGTCCATGCACTTTTTAATTTCTTAAAACAGAGATATCAGACAATTGCAGGCTCTTTTGTGTATTGAAGTAGAGGAATTATTTAGCTAACAGCCTGCTTTTACTAGTCATGTTAACTGATCTATGATACAGCTTGCGGCAAGGCCTTTCTATGATTTCTCAATGAAACCTTGAATTATTCAATTAACAAATGAGTATTTAAACCAAACACAGATAACTGAACTTTGAACAGTTGTGAGGAACTTTCCATAAAATGATTATTGAGAAGGAATCTTCAGTTGAGAGAAAGAGGAGAGAGGGAAGTAAAAGAATAAAAATATATATCCATCTCTTTCATTTCCAAGAAAGTCCACTTTGTGGCATTAGTGGGAAACAACTAATCTAGTATATAATCCTCTTTAGTCTGCATTTAATTTCCAGGAATGAGTACAATATCAATTAATTAGCTCATTTGGTAGATATTTGCTAAAACACTACAGATATAAGCAATCTAATCGTCCGGTAATACAAACATAACCAAAGAAAAGACTATT